TTACAGTGCTGTACACCGTTCCTCAGTGCAGAGTGTAGCCTGAGGTCACCCAGAAGGCTCTATCCAACTTTGACTGGCTGTTGATAAGCAAGCACTGAGAAATAAACCCAAGAACCACAATATATCTCAGCTTTTGTAACCCTTGTTTTATGGACAACGTTTCAGTTTTCCCAAAAGGTTGCTATATTTCAGTATTTTGAATACATCAGTGTTCCTTTCGAGTTGGTAGATATAACCTAAACAACCATCATTACATTTTGGTACTAAGGGATATGCCTTTCAATAAAGTTACTGAAATACAAAAAAAAATTTTTTTTTTTGAAGTTGGAAAATGAAGAGATCATATCTGGCTAGAATGATTAGGAAGAAAAACATGGTGGTAACCGAAAGAGCCAATGTCTGCTCAATTCTCATGACTAGAAATAGGTTCCATGCAAGAGTTCTGCACTGGCCCCATCACGTGTTCCAGGAGGGTCCTGGGGAAAAGCAGATGTCGGAGCGTTGGCTGTTCTCAACTATTTATTCCAGGCTTGCCAGGGGAAAGAAAAAGGAGCGGCGCAACCATAGAGGGGAAGAACCTGGAGTGGTACCTGAAATCTGGAGACTGAGCATAGGAGAGACCTTCCTAAGAGCTGGATAGATCAGGGCTCACTTCCAGTGCTAAGAGGTGATGAGACAGAGACCTTCCTTAAGCTAGATGTGCCCAGAACAGATTTGCACCTGCTCCTCTGGGATGCCGAGAACGTATAGCACAGATAAAAACGTTCAATGAACTCTTCAAGTTAAATGTATGTAGGGTAACCCTTCCTCTGCCAAGGGTCCTTTTGTTTTGTTGAGAGAGGCAGAAGGGATTGCAACAGGTGGTGTTAGGTATTCCAAGAAGGGGTAGATCATTCTGTGCAAGAAAGAACTTGGAGTGACCAGGAGAAAACAATTATGCAGGTAGGAGGGGAGTCAGTAGCTCAATGACTCAGGGCACTCTGGGTATTTTAAAGATAGAAACAGAATTAGAAATGAAATTATCAAGCTACTGACCTGGGAAGAGAAAAGACATTTATGTCAGATATTTAGGGAGTTTCAGGATATAATGTGCTATACAATCCACTTTTCTTTGTCCTCAAGGGAGCATGAGACACTTGTTAAATATTTTAGAAATCAGGACCAGCAAGTGGTGCCGTGGTTGAGGCGCTGGACTCCCACATGGCTGACTGTAGTTCAAGTCCCAGACACAGCAACTTGAAACTCACATCAGATGCATGTGTGTATGTGTATGTCCAAAATCCTGAGAGGTGAATGGAGGAGAAGGGATTATGGTGTGGCCATCTCCCCGTGGGGTGTGACTTCTCACTTTCTCTGTCTCTCTGCAAGCACACGTCCTATTGCAAAAGAAAAATCTCCCCCCAAAATTCAGGTATTAGTTTGCTGACACAGACTAGCTGTTCTGAGGTACGTGGTGTTCATGATGGCCACGTGGGTTTTATGCTCTTTGGGGACCCTTGGATAAGCCCACTTTAATAGGGGTTTCCCCCCAGAAAAGGCCACCACAGTCACTGTCACCATCACATTCTCATGGGCTCATTTGGAGACAAAAATGTAAGAATTATGACAATAGAAACCCCGTGGCTGCCTGATGGTCTCCTCAGCCTCTTGCTGGTACCCAGCTTCCAGAGACCCCTCCTGGCCACGACAATCGCAGTTTCCTGTCGTCACAGGAACTCAGGAAAGGTCCTGCTGGCAAGCGCGTCCCCGCCCTTCCTCCAGTCTGTTCTCTGGCCTCGCTCCGGTGATGTCAGAGCACGCCGGGGCTGTCGGTTTGCCGAGCACATTCCAGTTACTTCTGACTTTACCTCTTTGCCAGTTTGATTTAACCTTGAGCACACTTGGGCACTCTGCCAATCCCACCCTGTGTGTGGCTCCGACCGACACGTGGGGCTGCTCAGGGACAGTCTCGTTAGCTCCCTGCTTCCTTTATTTCTAGAAGCCCCAGCCTGTGACTCATGGTTCTGTTGAATAACCAGGAAGGGTGGTGGGGTAGCCACTGGGCGTGGCACGATGAGTCCCAGCAGGGCTCTGGGTGCCTGCCACCCCTGTGAGTCCCTCTGCCAGACACCTGCCAGAGACCTGGAGGAAGACTAGCGGGTACCCCCTCCCAGGGCTTTCCCACCAGCCACTCCATTTCCCACAGTCTCAGCCAGCTTCTCTTCCAGATCTTTCTGCCACTTTTGTTCTTGCAGATTTATTTTTAAGGAAGAAGGAGAGTACAGAGAATAATAACCCCCACTGGCATCCGTGTTTTCGAGCGCTTGGTGTCCCTGATCTCCGCCTACCCTGCCCTACCCGTGGGGCTCTCTCCACGCTGGCTGCTGCGTCGCAGGGCAGCTCGGGCTCCATTTCTTCCCTGGTCCCCCCGTCAGTAATCCCCTCATATCTTCTCTCTCCAGGGTTCCGTGGAGAATGGGGCTGTAGCCTCAGTGGAAACTCAGAAGACAGACCCCGCTATGGAACCGAAGTTCAAAGTGGTAGACTGGGACAAGGTAGCGAAGGATGGAGGGGGTGGTGGGGGCCGCCGGGCGAGGGGGGCGTGTGTGGAGCCGGAGGCCGTGGTGTTCCTGACGCGTGTCCGGAGAGATGAGGACTGGCAAACAGGTGCCCGTGGCTCCCGAGTGGGACCTGGGGCAGCAGCCCAGGCCGAGGTTGGGATGATGCCTCCTTGGTGGGGGGAAAGCTGAGGGAAAGCTCCCCTAGGGAGTCCCCATCTGCACAGAGCAGCCCCCAGACGCACCCTGCAGGGGTTGGATGGGCCTTGTTTGACCAGTGTGCAGGGCAGGTTGCCCACGAGCCCGTGCTCCGTCAGGAGAGCCACTGCTGGTCCTGCAGAGGCCAGGGGAGTGTTTGTGGGAAGTTGACAGAGCCTGCCGGGCCCTATGCCAACACTCTCGGTGCTTAGAGGCCAGCGCCTTGCTGCGACCAGGCAGCCCCTGAGAACCGAGTGCCCACAGGTGGAAATGGAGCCCCTTAGGAGGGGAGGACCCTAGGGGCTTCTGGAGGGAATGAGGCTTGGGGGCCCTGTCCCTCCAGCTTGGGCCCAGGACTGCTCCAAAGCCTTGTTCCATTTCTTCTTGAAATGGGCAAGTGTACATGTCCATAACTGCCCAGCCTGTGTCTCTCTGCCTGTGTCTCTCTGTCTCTCTGCCTGTGTCCCTCTGCCTACCCTGGGCACCAGAGACGCAGACCAACCCAGACAGCCCCCCGTGCCTTGGTGCTCACAATCTGCCCTCCCCACCCCATAGGCAGCTGTTTCAACCCGAGGAGATGTGGGGGATCCCAAAGAACTCAGGTGGCCAAGAGGGGGGACTGAAGGACTCCACAAAGCTGGCGCTTGGTTCGACCCTCTGACCAGAATTCCTGAGGCCTGACCCCAGGAACTCTTGAGCTGGCATCTATCCCATGGGACTGTCATCATCCTGTGGCAAGGGCACAGGATGGTGCCCAACTAGAGAGGCCAGAGAAATTGTTCTATGCCCTGTCCCTCCGGAGGGGCCGGGCCAGCCGGAGGAAGGACTTGCCGGGACCACACAGCAGGCCTCCCTCCACTGGCCGTAGCCTGGCTTCCTGGCCTTAAACCCTGGCTTGGCCACGATTGCTGATGGCCAGTCTGAGTGTGAATGATGCCCAGGCTAGGGGCTGAGATGGGGTCTTGGTACAAATGGCAGGCTTCTCTGGAAGTGTGCAGGACTTTGGGCTTGCTCTGCACGCGGGCAGGATGGAAGGGGAGCCACCCAGCCCAAATGGGAGAAGGACCGCGAGGGCCAGGGGAGTCAGGACCTCACTATAGAACAGGAGGAGCTTTGGAGGGAGGGAAGAGGAGTCTGGGGAGAGGACCAGAGAGGGAGCTTCAGTGTGTGCCAGGCAGGGCTGTGGGTGACCGAGGGATGGGGCTGACAGAAGCTGCGTGGGGTCCTGAGGGGCCAGCATCTGGAGCTTGGCTTAGGGCTGGAATGTTCAGAAGAAAACACTCCAGAGAGAGCTGACCAGGGCTGTATGCATGTGGGCAGGCCTCGGGCCGAGTGGCAGGGGG